TATTAAATAGACGGCTCCAACGCACATGAAAGGGGACATGGCTCAAGTGGGGCAAACAGGACAGATGACGGTTTGCAATGAGAAGTGTTCTACTGGCAGATGATTTTGATCCGATCATGACTACGCAAGTGACCTGATGGGTCACACGAAAGACAGATCGAAGGTGAGCTGGAACCACAGCAGTAGGGGGTCAACGTGGGTGTTGAGTTAAAAACAAATGTCCTCACATATCAATTTAACCAACCGTCCGGCCCAATCAAGGTGACCACCAGTCCATCCAAATACCTCGTCACCCAACCATCCATCCCAAAACTTGAAATACATTCGAGGTGAAGTAGTACCCTACGTATGAGTGACGTTTAAAGTTGGAAAAAGGTATCCTCAGGGCGTAAAGGTGAACCACTTTATCCACTTTGAAGGGTATCATCCAAATTTGTTTTCGTTTACCCATTTGATGCTACACTGAAGTTTGTACCAAAAACTGATAATAATCGGCACAAGCATGTGGCATGTGGCTGATATGAGTACACAAATAAGTACTTTTGGGAGATAGCGTTTTTTGCGTGCGGACGTGGCCACTTCCTTTTAAATAAATAATAATATAACTGAGCGCTGGGAGCATTGCAAGGTACCCAGCCCCTGAGGAAAGGGGCAACAATATCCACTGAGGATGGCCTTTTATGCGAAGCACCAGGTGGTTGTACTTTCAAGGGGGCAGTGAATGCTGAAAAACGGATATTTTGGAAAACTGTCAGAGGAGGCCAAGAGACGGTATAAGGTCATACTGAGTGCTTTCCGCCCATTCAAAGGTCATCGTCAAAATTCAGTGGAATAAAGGTTTTGTTAGCACCAAAAGAAACCGCCAATCCGACTTGACCTTACAAATTTACTTTATTTCTAATGTTTACTATCATCTTGTCAACTGGGTGTTCATAAAATTCACTATTTGCGATGATAGCGGTAATCCTTAATCTCAAAGGAGACGCCGTTCATCAGGTCGGTTATTTAAGGTGTTTACGTTAAAGCACTTGAACAGTGCGTACACAAAGTGACAAGATCACATGAACTTCCGTCTTGCATCGACAAATTTGTCGGTTGTCGACGCGTAATCAAGAAGACCCGTTTCAATGAAGTATTTGACTGTGTGGCGTCTTCAGTCTCAGAACATGCCTACGGCAACCCAGTTAATCACCCTTGTTGAGTCTTCGGAAATGTTGCAGGACTGGGTATTGCTAGTAGTGGTAAGCAAGCTCCACAGAGAAGGAACGCATACGGGGTGGACAGCTTGAACCGAAGGAAGTTGCAACAGAAGGGCTATTGAAACTGCGGCCAGTTTTAACAAAAGACCCAATTGTGTGGCCTGAAGAGACCCTAGAATTGAGTGGTTTAGAAGAGCCCATCACAAAACTGCCACGACGATATGTGACACCTCCTCCACGTTCTCGGTGGCTGGCTGGAACCCACACAAACGGTTGGACACAGCATTGAAATGGGAACGTAGAGCCGTTGTCAATCTGGAGATTCTCGTATTGTAGTTAAACAAGAGAACGAAACCGAGGATCCATCAGAAGTAGCAAGATGGACCATTGACAGTGGAGCCAAATGTCCTCCCGCCACGATGGAAAATGAAAGTTAATCTTCGTTTCCAACTCGTGGAGAATTTTTTAAGCACGGAGGTACGCCAAGGGTGATTCTCAAAAGAAGAGGACAACATAATAGATCACTATCTATTTGTTGATTGCATACTCGACTATGCAAGCTTCCCACAATCGCCACCAAATGAGAATATTACAGCATATTCTACCACAAACGAAATCGGTGGCCTCCTCCAATCTAACTCCCTGCGATTTCACCTCCACGCCTTTATTCCTGCCGCGCAATTGATCGCAGTCCCAAGAAGGACTCATAACGGCCGAAGCAGAAATGTGACTACAGGTGGAGTTGGGCCCTTATGCTGAGGCTCAGAAATTATTGACATAAAAGAAAGCGGTCAAATCCGTTGCAAGGGGTGGAATGTTTTGGACGCACCTCACAAATTTGCGTCTCAGTTACCTCTAGGCATGTTATGAGGCATGAGATCCCGCAGTGGTAGAGTTTCATGGTAGATGTACAACACCACTATGAGCGTGTATACGCCTGCTACCGGAAAACCTTTCATCAGCCACGCAAAATTGCAAAATAATTGCTGGACCAAATTTACGTAGTTGCGATAAAACGGGGTAGTTTGAGGGGCTTGAATAAGACGATTTCGCTTTGACGTTGACTCACCCAGTCGGTTTCTACCCAAGCGATGAATGGAAGAATAGATGGACGAAAGCTTAAATAGACTGATGGACGGATGTGAAGAAAGGCTGGATGAAAAGATCAACAAGTGCATGGATAGAAGAATTAGTGGTTTGGTGGATAAATAGGGGTATGAATGAATGATTGAATAGGTGGATGGATGAGTGAATGGTCGTTTCGAGTTATCTACGTGCATGTAAATACCTAGAATGGTGGATAAGTGGACGCATAATGGATGAAAGAGTGGATGGATGGATGAATGGATGGTTGGATCAACCAATAGGCAGTTAGATAGATTGTTGGACAAAAAAGCTGAATGGACAGTTAAAAGAATCATCTGCTTTCCACACTGACATTATCTATCAACAGCTCAGTTGCAGCCCAGCTAGGGTCTGTTCCCCCCACCCCCCGGCCCCCGCATGGCAGGTCAGCCAGCGTGTCCATATAGCTGCGCAAAAATCCTGTTGACAAGTTGTTCATTCAGGACTCTATTATTTGTTTATTTATTAACATACCGAGTATGCGTGTGTAAACAAGAAATTAGGTACATTAAAAACAAGAAATGTCAAGAACTGGATAGCTTGCACAAAATTCCTGTTTCCCACTGAATGGACTGTTGGATATAAGGGAAATGCAGGAGGGAGTAGAGTGGACTCCACGTGTTCTCTCAAGTCAAATCAAGGCCTTCTCATAAAGAAACCCGATTTACTGCCCTTTTTATATGGGCTACTAACTGCAAATACACACTTCTTGGGCTCGACTTCTGTGTGTCTTTACAATGTCTCATCATTACCTATGAGGGGATTCAAAAATCACTTTAAACCGTTTTCAGACCAATGGATTTTGTCTAAAATGTTAAACAATAAAGTACTTCCAATTAAAGACAACATCATAACACTTGTGAGCACTTTTACTTTCATCCTATTCACCGACTTCTACGGTCATCTTGTCACCCTTTCCAACATTTCAGAATAGGACGCACAACAAGGTCCAAGAAATTGATGTTATGAACGGCAGTTACTACTACCTTTGCACAAAAAAACCGCACGGAAAGCAGACACAGGCAAACAACTACAACTAAAAGATTTATTCAAGATGATTGCCTGCTTTCCCATGCCACCGTCGGATAAAAAATACAACGACCAGCGAAAACAGTAAGAAGGGAAAAAAATTCATTGTCATTAGTTATCCGCCCCGACAAGGAGAAAAATGACAAATGACAAATGGATGGTCTATAGGCCATCCCCAATCTGTCACCGACTCAACACTAAGCCAAGCCATGCCTAGCCCTGAATGCCAAACCAAGCAAAATCCTGGTCCAATGCCTCTGCTGAAAACAATATTCGTAGATGAAAATGACCACAATTCCCGTTTGCCATCAATGATATCAAGGCTTCACCCCTGCCCTAGAATGAAGCAATCAAAATGGTCATGTGGTGGCCACGAGGTCACGTACTTGGAAGAAGACGTGGAAAGGGGGGAGGATAGAGCATCACAGTGACCACTTTCTTGTAGCATACTTATTTACGACACATCAAGTACGTCAATGTATGGAATCATGGACCAAATTTCTACCAACTCTGCTTTGAGTACGTCTAAGTAACTGTATCCGATGCCTGGACGATTTTGAGGAACAGCTAGAGTACAATCACCTTTCAAGGGAGTTATTTATCACCTTCTGCCTACCCATTAATTTAAAGTACTTTATCACCTTGCACTTGTGTCAAAAAGCTTCACGAGGGAGACGAAAGATGGTACAGTGAACTAGAATTCCTGACAAATGAAATGCTTTGACCTGGCTAATCAGTGTCCTCCTCGCTGTGACTCGGTACTCTCGTCTCATTAGCGGGCATATTTGGGTGGGGAAAAAGGCCTTTTCAACAACGGGCGATCGAGAGCCCAGGATTTTGCAATGAACAGCCATCTAGAACTGGAAAAACTGAAGGGTGCTACATTCAGGACTCCACCAATAAAAAGGAAAACAGAACTAACCCTGTAACCAGCCCTCGGCTAGGCACAATGATGGTCACTTTCGCTGTTCTCTATTGCCAAATTTATTCATTCATCTATCAGAATATTTGTAATGTTGGCACTTAAATTTACTAACGGTGAATTGCTCTTGGCCACCGAGACTCCCATTCATTAAATTCTTATTTCATACCCATTTGCATAAATTTAACGCGGATGAATGGATCTGGGCATCTTGAAATCAGGAAAGCGTACGCAAAGACCTTTTCCATGCTTAATGCCTAATGCATAAAAAGAGCACACATTTCTGCACTAGAGATTTCGCCAGGCCCGTCCCTCTTCATGCTCAAATAACAAAGATTTTGCAGTACGTACCTCAGAGATTATACAAATTTGACGGCAATTTACAGACCATTGCTTGGTTGCCTTGTACAAATTACCTACATTTGGTAATATCATAGCCACGTAAAGGGGCCACTTGGGTGCTCCGCCACTACACCTTCGCCAGGTGGGCTGGCTTCTGGGCCATGCTAGTAGCCCCTCAAATCCTACTGTATATCGACAATGCATATTCTGCCCGAGTATTGTGACTTCTTTTGTCCTCGGAGAAGCATCGGGACGCTGAATTGGTGGTAGCGGAAAGCGAATCCCATCTCAACGTACAACTACACCGATCTACTGTAGGGTGATAAACCTTAGCGGATCGGAAGAAGGGCATAAGTAGCAGTTGGGAGAATCGGTGACGACCCCTAACAGAAGGGCCGAGGATGACGTCTACCTTCGGCGACTGCCCCCAGTCCAGTGGTCTGCAGGAAGGCTATTAACAGCTGAAGCGACACTAGCCATAGTTATGGGACTGTCCAGTGTTCCTATATAAAAATGTTAATTACGTGGACCCGCGATACCTCCTTCACATCTCTATTAGCTGGATAGAATCCAAATGGACATGGTTGGGCAGCTCTGAAGTGAGAACACGGAGGCAAGAAGGAATAGATGGAAAACTACGTTAAATCCCGTCTTTTGTTGCATGGCTCTGCTTTTAGACCAGTGTTCCGACAATTAGCTACGGACACGCGTGATGGACGGCACACTCCCCATCGGTCAATGGAGTTCCCATGAAGGACTGAACATCAGATCCAGTAGGAGTGCCAAGAGGGGTCAGTGACGCTGTGGTCGAGTATCGCCTCAGTTTCACGCAAATTCAATGACTCGCACGGCTGACTCATGGGGGTTTTTGGACAGCACTGCTTTCGCTGTGATGGCCGAGGCGGGAGGTTGACAAAGGAGGGCACCGAAGATGACAGTCAAAACAGGAGAGGAGCTGTTTATTATGTTGACTGCTTGCTTGCTTAACTCCCGGTTTTGGTAAAGGAGCCAATTAGGTGCGCCGTCATTGTACTTTGGAGGGGTGGGCTGGCCTCTGGGCCATGCCAGTAGCTCTGAGCCCTACTGGAAGTCTCGGGGCGCTACGACTGGACTTTCAGCGCTTTGCTATGCGAATATCCTCAAAAAAGGACCTAGTAACCAACGCACCTAGCAGTGGAAGGTTCAGGTTTTGCCATGTTGCCAAAAATCAGTGTTATTTGTGTTAGAATCAGATGTGTGTAGTGCTTAGTGTCCAGTACCGAAATTCAACGCATTGCGCGTCTAATTCTTCGCATTCAAGCGACCAGATGAATGATGCCTTAAGACCCATAATCGGGAAACCTCTCGGATCGTGGACATTCAAATAAGGCGTCTGGTGGCAGACAATTCAGGCAGAGGGCAACAAACTACAGATTGTGAGCATCGGAAGGCCACCCATTGAGCAAAATTGGCCAACCCGATCTTCAAAAAGCGTCTTAAAATCAACGCCTTGAACGTGAAATTCAACAAATCTACTTTAAATTTTGGTGCAAGTAAACTGATAAATGCTTGCAGCCTCTTTCTAACTGTTTTACAAGACAGCACCTCAATAGCAGCATGAATACGGGCAATAGTACGCAGGGTTAGATGTAAATTTAGTGTGTGATAACATAAAAAGCACAAATTCATGCCGAAATAAAAAGTCAACACCGCCTTTTCAACTTGAAAGTAACGTAAAAAAAGCGGGCGGCTATCAGACTCTCACTCATCCTCCGTTTACGCACAAATAAACTGTTTATAAATCAGCATCTTGAAAATCAGAAACGTCTCAGCTATTGCTGTCATGAAAAAGTGTTGTAAACTCTTGGCACACCTAGCTAGCGAGGGTATGTCATCATCTGCCTGTCTCACACAGTGGACTGACTTCATTCCACCGGCAAGAATACAGTTCTTCTGATTCGCCAAAAGTAATCCAAACGCAAGTGCATGTAACCCTGTCAAAGGTTGTCAGCTTTGCCTAACTTCAGTCCCCCACTTACATTAGCTTTAACCGAAGAATAAGAGCACCTGTACAAAGACTGTCCGATAAACAAGCAACTCAGCACCGACCTACATGCAGTAGGTGAAGCTATATCAAGATCAACAATCGTTTGCACGCAATCCGTTTTTTCATTTATTTTGCAAAATTCTATCACTCAGGCGCCACAATGCATTTGGTTTATCATTTTCAATTTATTTACTTCAACAACAACAACAACAGCAACACTGCCGAGTTAACATGTAGTGTCCGATGTGAACAAATTTAGATTGAAATTGTGATAATGATAAGTGAGAAATCTCCATTTGTACCAGTTTCCGTGAATTTTGATGTAAATATAAGACATTAAGTCGCCAGACCCCAATAGGTTGATTTGTGATGGGAATTAAAATTCCCATGCTTGGTGACAGTCAACATTATCGTAATACTTACATAGGATTTCATCATTTGTGAGTCATTTCAATGACAAATTTCAGAAAAAAAGACCCAACTTCAACCAAAGTGGAGTAGTTTTCGCTTGCTTGTAGTGGAGAAATATTACTAACCTTCAAGGAGTATGCAAAAAGCGAGAGACAACTCACCAGCCACAAGTTCCAATGACATCACCTCCAAATCCAACAGCATGACAGCTTTGGCGAGGCAACTGCGAACTTCGAATACCGACATAAGCGGCTGGATTGCCACGTGAGGTTTTGACCACCTATCTGCACTCTCCTCCACCTCCTCCTCGTATTTTATCCATCTGAAAAAGTGGAAGGAGAGCGGAACGGTGAGTGAATACACGCGGATGCAGTACTTGGAAGGAAAAATAAGCAGACGTAAAGTACGAAAGAATCAGAATAGGTGGTTGGAAGGCGTTAAGAATACCAATCTAAGGAAGAGGTTTACCAAGGGTGGACGAATTGCTAGGTGGGAACTAGATGCGTGGACAAATTGATGGACATATTTTTGGGTCGATAGATGGGGAGAGAGTTGGATCAGACTAGTATGCGCTTCCACGCACTACAAGACGCAAAAAAGGGCGGCTCGAAGGCCTGGAATAGTTAAGGCATGTCAGAGCTAACTAGATGAAGGGATGAGATAAGGATGAAAATTTTCAGGATCTGTTTTATGGCGCTGTAACCTAATTAGGCACATAGTCCTACTGCCATATTCGTACCTCCACATCATTCCATTAAATGGCGCTTATAGAATAGCGGAGCCAACAAATGAAGGAACATTAGGCTCAAGGACAGACATGGGCGCGTTAGCATGTGTCCATCTACAATTCCTCACTTCTTCCGACGACAAACTAATTGGGCTTTGTGTGTCATACTAGGTAAGTCAAATACTCCACATCGAACCCCTCCGCGCCTCTACTTCGGCCTCCCACCTCGCTGTTGCCAATTCCAACACTAAAACAGCAGATGAAAGGGACAAAGAAGTGAGAAGCCATTTATCTGGTTCAGCCTTTTACTCTATTTGCAAGCTTGCTTGAAGCGTGTGCCAAGACCTAGAGCTAGTTATTGCCTGCCCTTTGCATGTGTGGGTATGTCACCTTCCCTGAAAGATCATAAAGACAATAGGCAGTAGTTAAGTGCCAGTGAATGCGAGGGCGAGGAGAGAGATT